GCGGGGGGGTGGGGGGCCCCGCCTCTGGGGCCTGAAATTGCATGGCAGGGAATGCTGTGCAGGGCGTGTCTGCCAGTGTATTCCCCTCGCCGCCTGCCCCGTGTGTTCCAACCAAGTGAACGCTCACCGCCCCGCCAAGGCCACGGCCTATGAGCAGCGCTGCTCGGGCCTGGTGCTCTGCTAATTGCTCTAGACAGAGCGCTAATTGGAGCGGCTGCAGCGAAGGGAGAGGGGAGGGGTGCTGTTTATAGGCGCTGGCTCAGAGAAGGCTGCTCAGGCAAAGCCCTTGCATCTGATCAGCCAATCTCTGGGCATTGCGATACCAGCTGTGAGGGCAGTCCAGTCACCCAGCTCGTTTGGCAAGGCTGGGGCACAGCTGCCTGCTCCTCCTGAGTGGCCCCTGGTGCCGCTCTCCCTGCTTCCTGGGAGCACTTACACCTGGAGCTCGTTAGCAGCCCATCTGAGTGGCGCTAATGAACATGGGGCGTTAGCCAGAGACAAACCAGCAATCAAGCCTCCCTCCATGAGGTCGCAGCAGCAGCCCCTGGGGTTTGGCTTCCCTTGTCTTCTCAGCAGTGTCCCCTGCTGGCCGTTTCATCTTCCAGGCAGCCTGGACCTGGGAGAATCTATTCAAAGCTTCCTCTGGCCCTTGCCCCTGTCCCTCACCCTCCCCAGAGCACCGTGCCAGGCTGCATGCTCTTTTGGCCCAGCCCGTGGCCTTGCCAGCTCTGACTAGCCAAGCGGGCTTTCAGGGGCTAGTACAAAGAATCCCCCCAGCTGCCGATTTCTGTCGGGAACGTAAATTCTCCTTTGGCAAGTTCCGGTTGTTAACTCCTGGGCAGACAGTAAATCAGTCTGATGGATGCATGGCCCATGAACTCCATTCCACCGGCGTGTGTCGCCTCTGCATTGTATCTTGTCCTCCAACTTTGCTCCCTGGTAATAAATCTCCTCTCCCCGCCTTGCTCCCGTGCCGCAGGTCTGTACAACTCCATGGACAGCTGGATGATTGTCCCCAACATCAAACAGAACCACTACACCGTGCACGGCTTGCAGAGCGGCACCCGCTACATCTTCCTGGTGAAGGCCATAAACCAGGCTGGCAGCCGGAACAGCGAGCCGGCCAGGCTCAAGACAAACAGTAGGTGCCACGGCATTTGTTGTTTCAGGTGGGGTGGGAAGGAGAAAAGCAACTTTGTGAAGCCTGAAACTTAGAAGGGTATTGCTGAGATTTTCCTTAACTCTTTAATTGCTGTGGCTTATAACCACCCTTTGGAAATGAAATCTTTGTGGTTTCCTTGCTGGACTTGGAGTTTGTTTTTTCTTCCCATCGTGTGCATAGGCACAAAGGTCAGATTGCACATGAACCCTGGGCACTGGATGCTGGCGGGTGTCTGTAGGGTTGTCCCAGAAAGCTCAACTGTGCTCATATCACTTCTTGGGCAGGATTCATAGAATATTAGAATTGGAAGGGACCTGGAAAGGTCATCGAGTCCGGCCCCCTGCCCTCACAGCAGGACCAAGCACCATCTAGACCATCCCTGGCAGGTGTGTGTCCAACCTGCTCTTAGATATCTCCAGGGATGGAGAATCCACAAGCTCCCCAGGCAACTTATTCCAGTGTTTAACCCCCCGACAGGTAGGAAGTTTTTCCTCGTGTCCAACCTAAACCTCCCTCGCTGCAGTTTAAGCCCATTGCTGCTTGTCGTGTCCTCATTGTTATTTTAGGGCTATTCCTGAGCGCCTGTGTGCAGACACAGCTGTTCCTGGTCGTTAAACACTGTCTGAACCCTCAGTCTTGGGGCAGGGTATGTTTGGGCAGACGTTCAGGCCAGCGGATTCCCACTCGGAACCCACTTCTCCAAACCATATTGGCTAAGGAGTGAAAGTGGCAGAAATCCGGTTGCACTTAGTGAGCTGACGGACTCCCCTTGGGTACTTTGATGAGGTCAGATCCTTTAAGACTGGCCTCTCAGTGCTTCCAAGCACCGAGCTGGGGGTCCGCTGGCTTGTGGAGAGACGGTGGCTCATGTGGATTAGGCTGCATGTGATCATGGGGTTATTTGGGAGGGCAGTGTGGTGTCTGCTGGCTTGTTAGTGGTGGGGAAGGAGGAAAAGA